ATTTTCAGACTGCCAGCAATTAATATGAATTGTAATCAGAACATCTCTCCACTAAGTACCGGGGAGAAACTGACAAGTCTCACTGCAGAAACCAGTGAACAACTGTCAAAAGTTTGTTCCTGACCTATGTCCGATACAGACAGCAGACCTATGAATGAAGGTCTCCTAGCTCACATTACCAGTCTCTTGTTATTCAGATTTGCCTCTCTCATATAACTTGGATTGCTGGTGGTGGGTTTTTTATCTGTAAAATCAGTTTATAGTACCATCTTGTTTACTGCAAGACTTAGTATGTTTGTATTTCTTTCCCAAACTCGAAAGAGCAAATAAATGCAGCATAGATCAACTCATGTTATTCAGCCTGTTTTTGGTCAAGTTTATGGATAAAATAAGAGATGATCATGATTTTATGACATTAAAAAAGAAAATCAAGCCATTAAAAATTCCATCTCTTTATATAGCATCACAGCTGCTCCTTTTTAAGAGAGTTCTTTTCTGTTTTTTTTAAAAAAGCACTTTAAAGTTAATGACCTCTACAAAATACCACCTGTCAGACATAGCACCAAACTGACATTGCGAATGTTATGTGACCAAATACCTTGTAATCTGTCCAGATGATCTGCTGTCTGGATTTTAATCGCTAGATATGGGAAGCCATGTTTTTTCCTTATTTTTAATGACGTATTCTATGTCCCTTCCCTCTGCCCCCCCACCCCCAACTTGTTTAGTGACCTTTTAACAAGTTCTTCAAATGCCTTAAGGAAGCACTGCTGCATTCAGGTAACTGGAAGGTCGAGCTGGAGTGGGGAAGGGGCAGGACAGATGTAGAGATATATCCTGTTTTAAATAAGAGCAGAGATGCTCAGTGATGTTCTCTAACCAGAATCTGTCAAAATCTACTTCATGCTACATGGCATGTAGCACAGTGGGTCTGGGCAGTGATCCCACAGTTTCTCCTTCCTCTATACCAGGAGTATCCAACCTTTTTGAATGTGGGGCCAGATCACGAACTAGTTATCACCCAGTGGGCCGGTGAGCCATATTCAAAGACCTCACAGGAAGCAGTATCGCATCACCCCCCTGAAACGAAAGTACAGTATTTACTTTTGTTTCCCGTCGCAGCACCTTGGGCCTCAGAAAACAGCTTGGAGGGCCACTTGGCAGCCCACGGGCCGTATGTTGGACAAGCCTACACTATGCACTCTACTGGGCAAGTGACTCCACTTACAGCCCAGCAGAGTCTGGACCAGGGAGCAGCAAAAGTACTGGATTGGCCCACACCTGGCCACATGTGTCCAGCTTTTGACTCAGGAACCAGGCATGTGTGGGTAGGGATTTTTGCTTCAATTTTCTCCAAGAGCAGGGATGTTGAGACAGCCTGTGAAATCTGGGACTGTCCTGGTCAAGCTGGGACATATGGTTGTCCTCTACATGCAGCACCCTTGTGGGACCTTCCCTGTGCCATCGATCCAGGGCTGGTCTGGATTGAGCCCATTGGGATCCTGTCCATGGAGCAGGTCTAGTGCAGTCAGCACATGCTCAAGATGTGGGGTGGGAAGAGGCTGGATCAGCCTCATGAGCCACTGCAGGGCTGGGGCCAGCACACTCTGCATGTGATGCGTGCAGCTGGCTGGGGTTGGCAGCTGTGCTGCAAGCAGCATGTACATGCCCACATTGGACCAGCCCTGCAGGCTGGATCTAGCACGTGGGGCCAATCTGTGGGTCTGATGTGGCCCACAGACTGGCCATGTGCCCCTCATCCAGCTCCATGTGTGGAATGCGTTTGACACCCCTGCACTAAGATATTAAAAGTCAGCACCATAAACAGCTCCTCCTCTGACAGCCATGTATTACAAGAAATGTGAGCTGTGTATCATTCTCCCAAAGAATGGTTCTAGGTCCTTGGTTTTAGGACAGAGTTCCTGATTGTGCATCCCAGATGAAGAAGGTGACTGCTTACAGCCCCCAGCCAGGCAGCCAAGACTTATGACTCACCCTTTTCTTCTTTAGGGTTTCCTATTTGTTAACTCTTCAGAAGCTAATTACTGAAAATGCAGATAATTTGGATTGTTTTCAAGACATTTAACTCCGCACAAGACAAATGTTTAATCAGTTCTGGATTCCATGCCAGGGGCCAGGTGCTTCATGACATGACATGCCTGAGTGCAGTGGCAGAGTGTGCTCTCAGCATCTGGAAATCATCTGTGATATCTATGCAGACTTGATAACATGGGGCAACAGCAAGTGGACAGGATTCCTTTTCTTGGCATCAGCCTCAGGTTCATAAAGAAATCTTTTCCTCCCCATATAGTCAAGAGCACCTACTTACAAAGTAACAGGCTCTTTTGGGCTCTTTCTTGGCAAAATAAAGTCTGTTAACTTGGTTTTGGCTGGAAAATAGGAGATCCATTATTTTTTTAAGTGCCTTGTATGTGCAAGACCAAAGCTGCCTTACCTTTTGGTCTTTGTTTCCTCCCTTGACTAGGTTAACTTCCTAGCTCCAGCATGACCTAAGCCTTTGAATTCATGTAGGCAGCCAAATAAAATTGAACAGGGAAATCAAGGTACAAATACTGTTTGTAAGAAATAATAATAATTAGATATTCTCAGTTCTTCCCAACTTCAACTGCAGGACTGAACTGATGTTAGCAATGACTTGACTATATTAAACATGATTAATATGGGAACTATGAATGGGCAAGGGTACATCTTGTTCAGATCAGTTCACCTTATTCAAAATGTAGCTTTTCTGTAGCATCACTAGCAAATACGTGCTATATACTTTCTGTATCCTGGAGAGAGCATTCAGCTAAAATTCAGGTCATAATATCCAACATAGAATTTCATTTTGCAAAGGAATGTAGTGGCTTGGATTAGACCTATTTCTTATTTTCACACATCAAAATGGAGGATTGGAGTCCCCTGTAGTTCAGTGGTAGAACTGTAGCATGCCACTCTGGAGATCTGGGTTCAATTCCCTGATGCTTATATAACTACAGCCATGGAAGCACCAAATGCCTGGGCTCCATCTGGCTTTTGGCTTCAGTCTCAGGGGGATGAAAGGTCTGGGCAGCCTCCACTCCTCCAAAAGTCCTGGCTAGGCATATATGTTGAAGGTCTGGATGACCCGTGCATACACCGTGATCCGTAAGGATTGACAGTTGCAACACCAAAAATGTAGGGTTATAGGGCACTTTTACATGTGCTCCAACTCATTTTGATTAGGATGCATTACAGCAGACTTGATTAATCAAGCCTGTTGGAGCGTTCTGATCAGAACAATCTAGCATGCTGTAGCATCTCATGTACTTGGCACTCTGTATTTCAAAATGGTGATGGGCGAGCTCCTTTGAGCAAAGCACTCTCACCACTGTTTTGAAATCTGGGACTCTGAATACATGAGATGCTGTGGATGTTTTAGTCTAATTAACCACCCCCCACCCTGGAGCATGTGTATAGCCACCCATAGTGACTAGCTGAACTCTGCACATGAGGGGGAGGGAAGATGGGAGAAGCTGATTTTGTGATCATTACCTTGAGCTAAAGCCATACCACTGCTGATTAGAGTGGAAGGATCATTTCACATGTCTTATATATGATATTTTTGGTTATTCCTGGCAGACCATGTGAAGGCATTATATTTGTAACACTGTGTGTCCTTATAGTGCTCCAAAAATGGCCAGAGCACAATAGAAATGTAGGAGGACATCTGAAGTTACATGTAGTGCTACAGTGGGTCTTTTACTTGCCAGCATCCCACAGTGTTCTGCTCTTTCCTTCTCTCCTTTTTGGGGAAGAGTGGCTGCAGCAAGCTCAGTGACAGCCCATAGCTCCTAAATCCCCCCCACAGTGAGTACAGGACCAGGCTCACCTGCAAGGAGCACAGCTGTTGCATGGCTGGGACTGGGGTCTACTACTCTAATTGCAGCAGCTGCTGCTGATCACTGACAGCCTGCCCAGTCCCCCTTCCCAGTGTGGGACAGGATACACTGATCAATGGTGGAAAAGACTGACAGGCTCCTCTCCCTTCGGGAGGTAGAGAAGAGCTCCCCACCCTATTGTCCCCTGGCTGCAGAGCCTGCCTTTGCAACGACTTTGTAGCCAGGGGGCTCTGAACATCTGCATACCCATAGCCCTTTATTTTTGTGGTATGTCAAAGTGCTGTGGCACGTGGAGTGCTACAGATGCATGTCTGAACATGGCCTCAGTCCGGTGTTTTCATTTTCTAGTGGTATTGTAGCAGAAAGCCCCCTTTTCCTCTTGCCTGCATTTGCTTTCCCCTTTGGATATGTTTCTCCTCTTATACCGTTTCCTCCTTCCTCTTTCTTTCACTATAAGATAAGGAATTGTGTTTTAAAGTTTGTATGTGTGTATTTTGTGTCTCCCCTTGTATTTTGGCATTTTTATCTATTTGTGTGCCATGGCAGTACTCTTGTAGCTTATATTTTATACTCTTCACCTTTTAACTAAATGTGTTTTAGTTTTAGAAGTTATACACTGTAACAATGTTAACAAGGGCGGGAATCAAACCCCCACTTCCCTGTATCAGGCAGGCCCCTGAAAAAGGGAGTGAATCAGTAACACAGTAGCAGGAACAAGCGGCGATTAACACCTATAGAAACCGCAGATCAACCAATTGAAGAAATCAATAGGAGACAATGTAGCAACTGGGAATTCTCTAAACTTCACTAGAAGCCCCCGTCTGAGTTAATCAATGCTTGGGACCAACTTTCGGGGCTGAATATCTCCAGATCGACTGCTCCCAGAGCCCTATTCATGACAGCGGTAGATTAATCAAAAGTCATCAACAGACTCCCAAACCTGCATGTACATGAGGACGACCCCTGGGGCTGACAGATGCCATCAAGTAGCCACCAAGGGGGAAGTCCCACGAGGGTCAATGACCCCTGGAATGGGCAAACCTGAAAACTGGGAAGTCACCAAAGTCTGCCAAGGACAGATAAAAAGCAGTGAAAAGTAACCCTCGGCGGCACCCTCTTGATCTCCAACTGTGTGTGTGCGTGTGTGTGTGATGGGACCAGCCCCAAGATTTATGATTTGACTTCATTACAGTGTTTCAATCCGCCTAATAAACCAGAATTTCAAGGATCCTGAGTTGGACATTTGTAGCCAACAGTATGACCTGTTGACTCATGTTTAGTTTATGGTCCACTATAACATACAGATCCTTCTCTGCACAACTGTAGTTTAGATAATAACCCCCATTTTGTATGTGTGCAGTATATCTCTAGGCTAATTCAGATTCTCAATGTGTAGTATCCAGGGTCTCCAATTCCCACCTCTTCTCGGGCTTCCACTTCCTGCCCCGACCCAAAGGGACCGTGCAGTGTAGCATGGCGTAGAACACATACTGGGACCCCTGTGTAGTATGGGACCCTGTAGTTGGGGAGCTGAGGGAGAGGCTGGGGGGCCCATGTGGCATGCAGCCAGGAGGGCCTGTGGCTTGTGCTAGTGCAGTCTGTGCAGTCTAAGCTGTGGCTCAGGCAACATGTTGCCCCCAGCAGCTGAGAAGTTAGATAGTCCTGATCTGAA